AGTTGTCGAAAAAAAAAAAAAGACTGAAAACGTGGTTAAAGGCTTTTTGGCCACATCAGGCTCCTGCCGGCTGCCGCCATCTTGAAGACGCCATTTTGAATGGCTGCGCTGGACAGCTCCCCTGCCCTGGAGAGCATAGGGAGCCATTTACAGGGGCAGCTACACAAGCCGCAGGTGGCGGTTTCACAAGCTGCACTTTCGGGGTGCCACGACTGCTCTAAAGTAATATTATTTTCATTCAGACTACTACTGAAAGGTTGGGTCTGTGTAACAACCTCTTGCCATCTATCAGTGATCTAGTGACCTTAAAATGTCCTCTTAATCTCTCCCTTAAAAGTCATGATATTTTATAGAGAAGGTATAGCACAGACTGGCTGCAGCACTGGAATTCCCCATTTGAATCGGACTGCAAATTTATGGAATATTTGTAGTCACGTACTAAAAATGCAAGAGACAAAATAAAAGTTCTTCACCTCCACCACAGTATCTGTTAAGTCTCATTGAAAGTTGGATGGAAGTCCTTCACTAGCAATGGCAATTGGGGTCTATCAACATATCCATATGGGAAAAAACTTCCTTAAGAACAAATGATCCTGTGATGGAGCTCTTGCCTCAGAAATGACAGCCTACCAATGTGCATCAAACTATCAATTTTTCTGGAAAGATCAGCAAGTTGAAGCAGATTAAACGGCAATTTCTTGAGCCCTCCAAATGTCCTAGTTCCAAGCCAATCAAGTTTTAGATAACTATTCATCTGTATTAAGAGATCCTACATGTAGGCTCTTTCAAGAAACAGTTTTACCACCCATTCTATGTAAAATGAACATGAGACCATCAGAGTTAATAGGGAAATATGGACTGCATTGAATTCAGTATACTCAGCTTTTCAATCACGTAAGATCCAGCTGGAGCAATGAAATGAATAAAATCAAAGTCTTATGAAGATAGAACAGAGTAGTACCAGCCTGATGAGTAATAATTAAAACAAGACTGAAGCATTGATGGTGTGCTGGGAATAGCAACTGAAAGACGAGTACAGGTACTCCTGGATAAGGACAGCATCAACCATTTGTACCCCAAATTCACTTTTGGAATGATAAAATTCCAAAAGCAGCCCTGAATCCTAACAGCTGTAGCTAAAAAGGTATTTTTAAATAATTTGGATCTAGTTAGAGCCGTGGTATCCAACACACTAGCCAATAGCTACATGTAGCTATTTAGTCAGGGTATGTCTAGACTACACGCTTCTTTTGAAAGAAGCTTTTTCGAAAGAATCTTTAGAAAAAGCTTCTTTTGAAAGATTATCTAGACAGCAACAACTTTTTTGAAAAAGCGATCCGCTTTTTTGAAAGAGTACCCAGGCAATCTGGATGCTCTCTTTCGGGAAAAAGCATTCTTCCTCATAAAATGAGGTTTACTGCAGTCGAAAAAACCGCCGTGTTTTTTATTTAATTTTGAAAGAGTACGGCAGCAGTCTAGACGCAGGTGAAGTTTTTCAAAAAAGGCCACTTAATCTCACTCTTAAGTTCATGGTGTCCGAACAGTTCTGCTATAGCTGAGGCTATGTCTAGACTACAAGGTTTGGGGGTTTTGTTTTTTGTTTTTTTGTTTGTTTGTTCGTTCGTTACAGACCAAGGCATCATTGATTTCTTTGCTAC